CCAGCACAGGATAACTCCTTTTGCTCCTGTTTGCTATGTAGAATAACTAATTGGAGCCTTGCTGTGAAAAGGAGTCACTGACTAGAATTCAAGATTAGCCTTACTGCAAAAGGTACCAATCTCAATGTGTGTGTGTGTGTTACAAAATTCTAATTTTTGCTTGAAATCTTACATATGTACAGGAATATATACTCATATGTATAACATATAGCATATACATTCATGTATGTATTATGTGATAATATATATTATGTATATAGGTGTTTTGCCTGCATGTTTCTGTACCACGTGAATGCCTTGGTGCCATGTAGGCCAGAAGAGGGTGTTGGATCCCCTGAAGCTGGAGTTACAGATGGTTGTGAGCTACAATGTGGGTGCTGTGAATACAACCCAGGCCCTTGGGAGAATGGTAAGTTCTCTTAACTGCTAAGCCATTTCTCCAGCCCAAATATATGTACACACACACACACACACACACACACACACACACACACATATTTGAGAAAGACTGAAGGTAGCCTGGACTGGTCTCAAACTAGGTGTGTAGCTGAGGATAATCTTGAATTTCTATCTTCTTGCCTCCATCTCATGAGTGCTAAAAATATGGACATGTGCCACCATGTCATTAATTGTAATGTAATGCTGGGGACTAAACCCAGGACTTGGTGCACACAAAGCTAGCACTCTACCACCTGAGGTCATCCCTATCCCTCTTTCTTTCTTGAGACAAGGTCTTGCAGAGTTTACCGGGCTACACTCCCTGTGTAGTCCATGTTGGCCTTAAGCTTGGGAATCCTTTCTACCTCGGCCTCCTGGATAGCTGCTAGGACTACCAGCCAGCATCACTAGACCCTCGATTCCTTGAAATTCTGGTCATTGCTAATAAACAAGGTCAGTTGTTCTTCTTGAAGAAACAAATCATCATTGCCATTTGAGGAAATGTTTGCCAAAATATTTAAGACAGAAAATAATAGTTAGTCTTTAATGGTGGTTCATTAAAAAGTACTTAACCCAACTGAGAATTCAAACAATTACACAAATGCTTCTCTTAAAACTTGTCTTCTTACTGTGATGTGTTGTTCTCATTTATTACACAGAGAATTGAAAAATCATATCATCTTTACTGATTCACCATTTTTTAAAATAAAATGTTTTGGCAAAAGCAGTAAGTTAAAGAAAACGAGACTAAGAAAGTCAGAGTGTAAAGACAGTACAGATGAGTGGACAGTGGCCCATCCTATTACTGTTAGAAATAACACCACTGTTAAGATCCAAAAGGCCGGGCTAGAGAGGTGGCTCAGCAGTTAGGGTCATGGGCTGCTCTTCAGAGGACCCAGGTTCAACTGTCAGCCTTTACAGTTTTTCAGTCACCTGTAACTCCAGTTCCAGGGATTCCAACACCCTCTTGTGGACTCCAGGAGCACTGCACACGTGGTGCAGAGGCATACATGTAGGAAAAACACCCTTACACATAAAATGAGGATCAATCTTAAAGAAATATATCAAAAAAGCTTTGCATTCTCATGTTTGAGTGCTGACTGCTAAGACGTAAAATGATGATGCTGTTCCCAGTTCTGGACTCCTTCCCTAGAGCATACAGCCTTTATTCCCTGTATCTTTATTGGACACCACCCAAGTAAATCTTTCTTAGAAACAAAATATCTCAATTGAAACTAGCATAGTGAAACAGCACAGTCATCAAAATTCAAGAACCATGCCTGAATTAGGTGGCCTTGATTGTCCCTGAATTGCTAGTGCGGTATGGGAAACCTTACATGCACAAACTCTCTCAAAGACAAGAACTATAATTCACCAAATAAACAGATTACTGAGGATTTTCTAGAGGAACAAAACTATGACTTATGTGATTGGAAACTGAATGGCCACAATATCTGTCTGCATGCTGGAGAGTCAGGTAGACAAGGCGGCTCAAAAAGGGGGAGATTGGGGTCTGAAGATAGGGCTAAGCACTTACTGCTCTTGTAAAGGACCCAAGTTGGGTTCCCAATACCCATAGCCATCTGTAACTCGAATTCTAAGGGATCTTATGCCCTCCACTGGCACCAGGCATAAATGTAGTGCATATACAGCCATGCAGGAAACACACTCAATACACATAAATAAATCTGGGGTGGGGGCAATGATTCAGTCCCAGTCCGAGATTGAAATTAGGGAACTCCCTGCATTGTTGGTGTCAGTCTACAACTGAGGCTGCAGGCAGGGTATATATAATTCCACATAAAGGCAACAGCAATAGAAGCCTTTGCTCAGAAATGGGGCCTGGCATGTGACAGCAGGCTTCTGCCTTCTTCCACGCTTGGTTCCATGCAGATTCCCAGGCTAGTGAACGGTGCCACTCACACTGAGAGAGACTATTCAAACAGTCTCTAGACACAACCTCTAAGACACTCTGAGAAGAGTGCTTTACTAGGTATTTCCTAGTCCAGTTAAGATGGCAATCAAGCTTAACCATCATACTTACCATTTTGAGAACTTGTAAACCTGTTTTGCCATTGTTTACAAGTACATTGTTTTTCTCATTTTCAATAAATAATGTCTTAAGCTACAATGAGTAAACAAATTTTAGCCAGTGATTTTATTTATCTTTTTTGTTGTTTGTTTTGAGACAGTATATAGCCATGGTTGTCCTGACACTGTCTTTGTAGACTAAGCTGACCTTGAACTCAGAGAGATCCTCCTGCCTCTGCCTCTGGAGTGCTGGGATGTGCATCTCCACACCCAGCTACATTACTTTGTAATCAAAAAGACTGGAAAGAACTGGCATTTGCTTTTGGATTTTCAAGTTTTAGTACAAATAATAGGTTTGTGGTATTCACTGAGGTTTTACTAAGTATTTCCTTATGTACCAGGCACTAGCCATATACCAGTAAATAAAATGACACAGAACTTAGAATTCTAATGGATATAGTGCACCAGCAAGCATGTACAAATGTGTATTTTACAAACACATTAGCTGGGTAGTATTAGGATGGGGGGATGCAAGCACTGCCTTAAACATGGTGTCTTAGGGTTTCTGTTGCTTTGATGAAACACCATAACCAAAAAAGCAAGTTGGGAGGAAAGTGTTTATTTGGCTTAAACTTCAACATTGCTGATCATCACTGAAGAGTCAGGACAGGAACTCAAGCAGGGCAGGAACCTGGAGGCAGGAGCTGATGCAGAGACCATGGAGAGGTGCTGCTTATTGGCTTGCTTACCCTGGCCTGCTCTCTTACACATCTCAGGACCAACTGCCCAGGGATGCCACCACCCACTATGGGCTGGGCCCTCCCCCATTGATCACTGAGAAAATGCCTTAAAGTGGAATCTTAGAGAGGCATTTCCTCAACTGAGACTCCCTCTGATGAGTCTAGCTTGTGTCAAGTTGACATCCAAAAACTGTGCTTTTTAGTCATGATGTTTCATCACAGCAATGGAAACCTTAACTAAGACACAGTTCCAACACTGTTCAAAGGTTTAAGTGCAGACTCTCTTGTAAGATTCATGATCTCTTAACTGTGACACCCTGAACAATACAAATCAAGTTACATAGTTCCAATAAACAAAGGCATAGAATAAACATTTCCAATCCAAAAGGGATGACCTTACTCAAGCAAGGCTCCACCCCCAACAATTCCAACTTTCCAAAACAATGTCACTAGCTGAAGACCAATTATCCAAACACAGTGCTGTTTGCAATCGTATGTTTCTAAGAGTCTTTCATGCTGATCCATAGAGCTGGACTGCATCACTCCTCCTTCCTGTAAAAGATTGCTACCTTTTAAATAAACTGTAATTTCTTATTTATACTTTCCTGTTTAATCCCCTTCTTTTGTTTATAAAGACATAAAATGTTTCATTTCCTTTTTAAAGATCTGGTATTGTATGCTACATTTATTATAGAAGATTTTTTTAAAAGACCAAAACCATTAGCAACAGTCCTTTTAAATTCACAGGTTGTAAAGGAAGTAAGACTTTTAGCATTCATAAATTTGTAAGAATGGGTTCAACTATTTGGCATTATGCCCTCTTCTGGACAAGGATCAGATCTTGTCAATTTCCCTATTTGCTCAGCATGTATCCAATGGGATGAACAGTAGATGAAGGCCATTTCAAATCCCTGTGCCTTCAGTTTTCTTAGGGCCACATACTTCTATATAATAATGTCTCCCACTCCTGGAAGTGTGCCTATTTTGACTTAAGAATCCACCTTGTATGTGTGTATACATATATACATATGTGTGTATCTTTGTATATATTTTTCACTAACTCTGGGATCTTCTCATTATGTGCCAAAGAGATGAACAAATTGAGTTCTTGACAAGTAATTAGACAGGGTGATTGGTCCACCCTTTTCTCCTAATGCCCAGCCCTTTAAAGGAGACAATCCATAAGTTAACAACTTTACAAGCATTTATTAAGTCACACCATAGGCAAGCTGTCAGAACCAGCCTTAAAGCTCCTATAGACTCTAAATTAGAAGAGAAGGCAAACACAAAGAGTTTCATAACACTAATCTCAAATGAAAATCATTGTGGTTTAATGCTCATCTTCCTACTATATAGTAATATGGATAAAAACTAATTCTCCCTGGACATGTTGGTACCATACCTCTAATCACTTGGGAGGTGGAGACAGGAGAATCAGGAGTTCAAGGTCATCCTCTGGCTACACAGAGTGTTAGAGGCCAGCCTGGGTTAAATGAGACCCTGTCTTAAAAAAATAAAAGCCAGCCGGGCGGTGGTGGCACACGCCTTTAATCCCAGCACTCAGGAGGCAGAGCCAGGCGGATCTCTGTGAGTTCGAGGCCAGCCTGGGACTACCAAGTGAGTTCCAGGAAAGGCGCAAAGCTACACAGAGAAACCCTGTCTCAAAAAACCAAAAAATAAATAAATAAATAAATAAAAGTCAACAAATTGAGTTTATTCTTGTCACTATATTCTTAGCATCTATCACACTAACGTGAAATCCTCCTGCCTCAGCCTCCTGAGTCAGCACATATGAATTTTCCTCAAATTGTTGACACTTCACCAACACATTGATATTCTTACCACTCATCAAGGAATGCAGCTCAGTATTGTATTCAGTTTATTTTGAGATGATTAGCTCCTTAACTAACAGTGAAGATAACACAAACTTCAAAATATTACCAACTTTTAAAATCATCTTTTCTAGAATTTGCTTGTATGCCAAAAAGCAACATACTGAGTGAGTTTCACAATACAGTCTGAGGCTCGTGTGAAACTGAGGAATTTCAAAGAACATTAACCTATGTTTGAAGACAACTTCAAACCTGACATTCTTGAAGATGAACATAGAAAAACTCATGGTTTGTTTCAATTCACTTATTCCTTCTAAAACCTCAGGAATAAATTCTAATCTGCAAAAAACTTTAGCTTCCAGACCTAAGAACTAGGTTGTCTTCTTTGATTTTTTCTTCTCTGCTTCCTCTTTTTCTTTTTCTATTTCAGTTACCTGCAATTCAATTTCTTTGGCACTAAACATCTGAAAAAAGAAAACAAATATTTTTCAGTTATAACAATACTTGAGTATTTTCTATCTGTAGCTTTGTATTGTATAACTTCAGAAATGCAACAAAATGCCTCAAAAAACTACAAAGCAAAGCACGCATCTACTGAGGTGAAATCAGGTCTGTGACATCTGGTATCACTGCAGGGCCGGACGAGGCACTTAGTTAGACATCCTGTACATGAATTGTCACTCCAGATGCAAGGCTTGTTTCTGAGTAAATGACTTCATCCTTCTGTGTGCTGCTCTTATATAGTTTAGCTATTGCTATGGTTAGAGTGGAAGGTCCCCCAAGGATCATGTATTTTGGGTATTTGGTGCCAAGCTGGTGTTGCTGTTTTGGAAAGCAATGGAATCTTTGTAAGGCCCTTGAGTATCATAGCTTGCTGCCATTTCCTGTCCTGTCTCTAATTCCCGTTCTAGGGTATATGTGAGGAGCTAAAGGAGGAGTTCAAGCACAGATTATGGGATAGAGGGAGAACAGACAGACAGACAGACAGTACAAGTGCATGTGTGTACACATAGCAGTAAGGACACAAAAAGCCCTTACTAGAAGCTGACCATGACTTGATCTCAGAATTTCAGGGCTGAGAGAAATAAGTGTTTGTTGTTTAAGCCACTGAGTCTATGATAATTCTATTAAGGCCTCCCCAACTAACATAAGCTAACAGTAATTTTATAGTCCCCGATTAAGTCACCCGAATCCCTGGGGTGGAGAAGGAGAGTCTGTGATCTGTTTCCCTTAGAGCTGTACAGCTCTCCTATTTGCATCTTCTGACTAATCTCTTGCCTCACCTCTAACGTTGGCATTACAACCTTCCTCCAGTGTGTCCAAGACTTCTAGAACGTGCTTTACATCATCATCTTCATGTCAGCACCAAGGTTTCTTTCAGTTTTGCTTAAAAGCTTACTTTCTGAATTCTACCTTTAAAAACTGTTGACATTGCTTGTAAGAAATATTTTGTGGGTTTTTCATTCTTTTTAGTAAATACATTTTTTCCATTTGTTTACTATTATTCCTTTATTTCCCCTGTTAACTGTCTTTTTGATTTACATTTTTGCTTGGATCTTGCTTCTTTATCTAGACATTACAGAAGACTGGATCAGCAGGCCAAGAACCAAATGCTAATATTTTCTACCAGTGTATAAGAACACAAATGTAGACGTATTATCTTTCCTTATTGTTTAATGATACTCATTGAAATGAGTACCATTCAGTGAGAATCTACTTCGTAGCATGCTAATACTTCATTTGCTAATAGTGTTTGTTGTTATTGTTGTTGTTGTTGTTGTTGGAGTCAGGTTCTCACTATGTAGCCCTAACTGGCCTGGATCTCACTATGTAAATCAGGCTAGCCTTGAACTCACAGAGATCTGCCTGCCTCTGCCTTCTGAGTGCCAGGATTAAAATTATGCCTGCCCCGTGCTTCCTTGAGGGAGAAGATCTTGCTATATAGCCATGGCTTACCTGGAACTTGTGATCCTCTGCTTTGGCCTTCCTAGTGCCAGTATGACAGGCATGCTAGGCTATACAACATTTTTGGATAGAGTAATTACAAGCCTCATTTTGTATATAAAAAAACTGAAAATTAATGATGGGGGCAATTTGCTCAAGGTCATACTGTGAAAAAAATTGATATGCTGGAGTGTAGACTCAGGTTTACTAAGTTCCAAGTGCTCTACTCACTATGTAGCTTATTCTGAAATGTTACAAGGAACTGTACTATAAGTTTTCTTCCAGTAAATGTACCCTTCTACCACTCATCAAGAAGATATGCATAGCTTGTATATGTATGTCTATTCCAGAAGGTATACAGGTGACATAGCTAAAGAAATAATCCTGATTTTTGTGGCTTCAGGGTCCCTCTGTTCTTGGTGTATCTCTAAAAGCATTGTGAGAAAAGGTGAAAACGAGCCCACCAAACATCTCTATAACCTGTGTTTACACTCTGTTTTTTTTTTTCTGTGGAGCTATGCAGGGGGCAGACCAAGTTCTGTTCCCATTCCTTTTATTTATTGAACTTTGCTGCTGTCCTATTATCTTGTCCCAGCTGTTGGAACAGTGGTAAAACACACACCCTCATTGTTCTACACATTACTGTATTTGACACACATTTCTTCTGAAAATACTGTCCTTAAACCCAAAGCAAAGTATACATAAAATTAATCTTCTAAGCACAGTAGAGTTTCCTATATTTTTGTACAATCTATATAGAGAACTATTGGCAAAAATAGATAGCTAACAATTCTATCTCAGGGACAACAGGAAACCACATAACAAGTGCTCTTTAGCCACTGAGTCCTCTAGCATAATGATCTGACAAGTTGTTCCGAGTTTAACTCATAATGCTTAAAGAAAGACATACAAGCAGTGTTAGGACTTGTTACCAAGAAACATGAAAAGGTTATGATTCTAGGGATTAAAATGAAAATGTGAAAGGGGCTCAAGGCATTTCAAGTGAAAATGTATCGACAACAGATAAAAAAAAAAGAAAACATCACACAGGACCAAGGTATGTAGCTCAGTAATAGTACAGTACTTATGCACAAAGCCTTGGGTTAGACCCTCAGAACAAGGGAAAAAACAACAGTGTGTTGTGGGAAATGTGCTGTGAATATATGTTGCTCTCATTGGTTAACAAATAAAGCTGCACTGGCCTGTGCCAGGGCAGAATGGAGCCAGGCAGGAAATCCAAGAGGGATAGAGAGAGAAGAAAGGCGGGGTCAGGGCAGATGCTGCAAGCTGCCACCAGGAGAAACAAGATGTGAGACAACAGGTAATACCATGAAGCCACATGGCAAAACATAGATTAATAGGAATGGGTTGAGTTAAGTTGTAAGAGCTAGCTAGCAAGAAGCCTGAGCCATGGGCCATACAGTTTGTAATTAATATTAAGCCTTAAAGTAATTATTTTATAAGCAGCTATGGGATCATGGGGTGGGAAAGATCCATCCAGACTGAGGGGCTGGGCAGGACCAGAGAAACCATGGCTACGACAGTGATCAGAAAAAGTGGAGGTTCTCTTACATAGTGGAGGTAACAAGAAAATGGGCAAACTGTAATGGTTCCTACTTACAGGCATGGATACTAAGTGGGCAGATCTATGTGAAGCACTCACCCCTCTAAGTCTTCACAAAGACAGGAAGTAAGTACCTGCTTGCAATAGGCAAGAGATAGCAACTCAGCCCCAACAGAAATCACTGTGCTTGCAATGGCAATTCACGGATACCAACAGCATTTTAACTTCTGTCAAGCTATGCTAGTAATATTTCTACTTTGGTCAATAATTCACCTTCAAAGGTTGATCTCTTCTTATTATAGCCAGTTCAATGTTCTTCCCACCAGACTGGACAACCTAGTGTAGAACAAGGACACATAAGAACCTTTTCAGCTGGCTTGGGCACAGCTCAGTAGTAGAGTGTGTGCCTGGTATGTGTGTGTGGCCCTGGTTTGATTCTTCAACACTATGTATAAACAACCACCTACCTCTGAAAAATGTGTATTGGTGAACAAAAGGGTAAGGAAACCATAGCCATATTCTCAGAACATACCTTACGAGGTCACTTACTTCTAGCAGAGCTTTGATTGCGAGTTTGATAGCTTCGTTGTCATTAGAAATTGCATCTTCTGTGTAATTCTTTTCTAGAAATTCCCTGACAGTTTTAGCACTCCGGCCTATTGCATTTGCCTTGAAAAATTAAAATAAAATTATTAATACAAGTGGGTTTATTGTTACCATATATGTTCACACTTTTCAGGTTTACTCCAGTGTTCAATAATAGAATCACAAAGTGAAAACTTGATAACCTAAATAAATAAATAAAAATAAGAATAAATAAATATATTCCAGGACAGCCAGGGCTACAGAGAGAAACACTGTCTTGAATAAAACCCAAAATAAATAAATAAATAAGTAAATAAATAAAAAATAGAATCACAAAGTGAAAACTTGACAAACATTTCAGATTCATTTGTTATTATGTAAATAATCTATAATGGTGACATCACTCTTATTTAAAGTTTACCAATGCTTTGACCTAGACAAATTACCTTAATAGTAAGTTCACAAGTCCTTTCTAACTAAAGAAGACTATCTGAGTTAAAACTCCAAAGACAAGAGGAGGTAAACCAGTATAAGGTTACAATAGGGAGTAAAAGGGAGAGGGGACCCAGGTGGTGGTGGTGCACATCTTTAATCCAGCACTGGGGACAGAGGCATGTGGATCTCCATGAGTTCAAGGCCAGTCTGGTCTACAAAAGTGAGTTCCAGGACAGCCAAGGTTAGGTATGTTTTCAAGATCAATCAGAGATATATCTTAGATATACAGGTCATCTTCAGAGATCTGCAGAATATGGCACTTAGGATTTTTGTTTGTTTGTTTGTTTTTTGTTTTTTTGAGACAGGGTTTCTCTGTGTAGCTTTGGAGCCTGTCCTGGAACTCACTCTGTAGCCCAGGCTGGCCTCAAACTCACAGAGATCCGCCTGCCTCTGCCTCCCGAGTGCTGGGATTAAAGGTGTGCGCCACCACCCGACCATTTAAGATATTTTAATAGCACAGATTTTTTTCTTTTTTTATGACAATGAGACATGTCTGTTCCTGGCAGCACCAATCTACTTCAGAGAAAATGAAGGGCATTGAAGAAACTCCATACAGAATTTACTTTCTTTGTGGTAAAAGTTAGCCACTAGGTAAGAAAGTTCCCTTGCCTCAACTACTGACAGAATGCTGTCCAAAACGAACAAGCAGGACACAGAAGAAAGTGACGCCAAACTTTGCAAGACAAGGTAGGAAGGCCTTTCAGAAAATCCTGCTTCACAGATGAGTCTGTCAGATGTGCTAGGCATATAGGCTGAAGATGGATGCCCCAACCTTGCAGAGGAACCTTGGGTGACTGTCCAGACAGCCAGCTGTTTCTGTCATTTCTCTCATTTTTTTGGAAGTCGCTTGTTTGCACTTCCTGCTTATTCAGTTAATATTTTTCCCTTCTCAGGTCTCTGAGGGAGTTGAAGACTAGATAGTTATAGTTATAGTTTTCCTTGTTATCAGATTCAGAAAAGAAACTCACTAAAGAAGTATAAGGTGTATAAGTCTGAAAGACATCAAAAGATATTTTTGGTTGGTAATACAAGTTAGGATAGAAAGTGAATTAGGTACATCATGGACTCACCAAAATAGTATAAATAATGGAATATTTTCACTGAATTTGTCAAATGCAAATGGACTAGACATTGTTGATGTATTTCTTGCCTATATATTGTATATAGTTTTTCTTATATTAGTTATAACCTTTTATTATTTCAGACAAAAAAGGGGAAATATGGTGATATATTGTGTACCCCAATAAAGCTTGCCTGGGGATCAGATGACAAAACATAGAGGTCAGGCAGTGGTAGCACATGCCCTTAATCCTATCACTCTGGAGGCAGAGATCTGTCTGGATCTCTGTGAGTTCAAGGCCACACTGGGAACAGAACCAGGCATGGTGGCACACGCCTTTAATCCCAGCACTAGGAAGTAAGATGACAGGGCACAGAAAGGTATATAAGGCATGAGTAAACAGGAAGTCTCTCTCTTAAGGCTGAGGACTTCGTAGAGGTAAGAACATGGCTGACTTGTTCTCTTTCTCTGATCTTTCAGCTTTCACCCCAATATCTGGCTCTGGGTGGTTTTTTTTTTTTATTATTAATAAGACCTTTTAAGATTCATGTTACAGTCCTGTGATAGTTAATCTTGTCACCTGACTGGATTAACAAATCCGAAGGAAATATCTATAGGGCATATTCTGAAGGGAGCATGAGGGCATTTACAGACACAATCAGATCATGAACCTCTGACATGGTGAAGGATTTATTCCACTAATGAATTAAAAGCTGAGCAGACTACTGGGGTGTGGTGGGGCTGTGGAAGGCAGATCCCGGTTGAGAAAGGGTCACTGGAGGCGGGGCTGTCTTTGGGGATGTATCTTGCCCTGCCCCATTGCTCTTAGGGCTCTGTTCTGCTTCTGGGCTGCCGAGACTTGAACAGATTCATTCTGTTAACCCTGTGAGGTTGGAGGTCAAAGGTAATCAATGCAGACATGCTGTTCCTCACTTTACTTGTAACATGTGTTTCTGACTGGTGTGCATCTTGAGTCTTTGACACAAAACAGCACCAAGCTAATTTACATAGCATGTAAATAGTATGCTATAAAATCAAATCCAAACCCAATAATTAGAAATAAACACTAAAACAATGTTAATATATTAAATTCATTTAAAATAATAAGCCCATTATTTGTTTGTTGCACTAGCCTGTTTGGTCTCCCAGTACAACATACCACCAACTAGGTGGCTTAAGCAACAGAAACTTGTCTCAAAGCTCTGGAGACTTTGAATTACAAACTGCTTTCAGACAGCTGTTTTCTTACAAAATCCTCACACAGCTTCCCTGCCCTCTACTCCCCATCCTCACTTTGGAAAATACAATTTTAAATAAAACATAGTACTTACATTAACCAGAATTTGAATTATGTTCCCTCAGATTCATAAGTTGAAGTCCTAACCTTACAATGTGACTAGTTTTGAAGCCAGGATGTTTAATGAGATAATTAAGGTTAAGTAACTTTTGTAAAGTGGGACCTTAATTTCTTTGTGCATGTGCTAACAAGGATGACGAAGATCTCATAGGGCCACTCCACTTCTGTGAAGACTGACTGGCAGTTAATGACTGCTGAGAGAGGCAGGATTGGTCTTCCCCAGGGATGAGCTTATAGTTGGTTATCCAGTACAAAGTGGCTAACCCTAAAATATATACATACAAGCAGCATTAAATGGACTCAGCAGGTTTTGTGTGTGTGTGTGTGTGTGTGTGTGTGTGTGTGTGTATGTAAATTAAAAAAAAAAGAGGCCATGAATTTGAGGGGGCAAGGGTAGGGAGGGAATGTTGAAAGGAGGAGAGGAAAGCAGAAAATGATGTGATTACATTTTAATTAAAAATAAAACAATTTTTTAAAGTAGATTCAGGACCAGAGAGATGGCTCAGCAGAGGACATGGGTTTCATTCCAAGCGTCCACATGACAACAGAACAGCCAACTGCAGTCCAGTTCCAAAGGATGTGACACCCTCTCCTGGCATCAGACACGCACACAGACAGACATGCACATGCACACAGACAGACATGCAAGCAAAACACCTATACACAGAAAAAGGAATATATATTTTAGAAAAATCTTTTTTAAAAAGTTGAATGCACACACACACAAACACTCACACTAAAAGGTAGAATTTTTCTATGTGTTTTTCACAGTCACTGTTTTGAAATGCTATGCTATTATTTTAGTCGAATTATAGCTTCATTCAAGTGTTAGGAAAGTGGGAGCTGGAGAGATGGCTCAGAGGTTAAGAGCACTGACCGCTCTTCCAGAGGTCCAGAGTTCAATTCCCAGAAGCCACATGGTGACTCACAACCATCTGCAATGAGATCTGGTGCCCTCTTCTGGTGTGCAGGCATACATACAAACAGAACACTGTATATATAATAAATAAATAAACTAAAAAAAAAAGAAGGGCCAAGAAAAAAAAAAGTGTTAGGAAAGGAAATTTTAATGTCCTTCTCAGTGAAGTGTTCATATTCCACTCAAGGTAGTTGCTTTTTCACAGTTAATTACAGGTTGGAATCTAGAACCACAAAAGGAAACTTTTTAAACTGTTTACACTAAAGTCTTTTGGCTAACTATTATTTAAAGTAAATTTAAATTTTCTTGGTAGGCTATCGTGGTGCATGCCTATAACCTCATCAGTCAAGGAGCTGAGACTTGAGTTCCAGGCCAGCACGAACTATACAGAAAGAACCTGTCTAAAAACAAACAGAACAATCTCTACATTTCCTTAGGATTTTGGTGGTGGTGGTGGTGGTGATAGTATTGCCATGTTTTTGTTTTTACTTTGTACTTTGGAAAGGTACCTCCCGAAGCTGGCCTGAACTCTATATGCAGTTCAGGCCAGGCTCAAATCTTTTACTCTCTTGACTCAGCTCATAGTGCTATGATCAGCTTTACCCTGAGTAGTCAACAGTCATTGGTTGTTTTGAATGGATCTTTTATACTGTGCCTTGGTCACCTGGAAAACATTGGCTCACTGAATTATACAGGTACTTTAACTGTTGACCTATCGCATTTCTAAAATATCAAATATCATGTTCCTCCATTTTACCAACAGTATCATCAAAGAAATACTGAGAAACTGTCAGGTGCATTGTGATAAATACATGTTTTTCAAATTTTCCTTTAAATCTTTAATTGTATCATTAGTAACAAATACTATCTGATGCTTTCTGCAAAAAAAACAGGCTCAGTCTGTTCAATCCTGAGAACATGTCCTGCCAAATTCCACATGTGAATAAAAACCATTGTTGTCTATTGTTCTATCAGACACACAGGAAGTTCCATTAACTGTGGGCTGTTTCACCTTGGAAGTGAAGAATAAGCTAACTGTTCATCTGAGAGCAACCCCACTGTACTTACATGATCATTCCATCACACAAACTGCTAAAGTGCTGTGTGTGGAGCCACAATTTTACAGCAGTGTTAATAGCAGTTACCACTTCACTGAAGAGCCACGATTTTACAGCAGTGTTAACAGCAGTTACTACTTCACTAAAGAGCCACGATTTTACAGCAGTGTTAACAGCAGTTACTCCTTCACTGAA